TATTTTAAAAAACTTGTGGTGTCTAGACAACAATGGAGGACATCTGGCATTCTCTTTTAGGTTATGTTTTATTTATAAATGAGCCCTGTGCGATCTTAAATGGCAAAATTACCTGTGATCTTTCTATAAACCAGTGTAGAACATACATATTTTTTCTTTAAGTTTAATTGACCATGGCAGATAATATTTGAGAAACTTTGGGAATAATTTTTTTCCCCTATTTCATTATTATATGATTTTTTAAAAAGTACAAGGTTCAAACCTAGAAATAATGACTTTGTTATTGTAGGCATGATATTTAAGTTTTTTATACTGAAGCCAATCTGAGTTCAGCCATCCTGAATGATCATGAATTTATAGATAATATGCTGAATATAGACACATGAATATGTAGTTAGTATCTTTTTGGCCAGACACCTTTAAATTTGAAAGTGCATTCTGTGAGCTCTTACTTTGGTGATATTCATGCATGTGTTCATAATAATTAAAATCAATGTTGTTGTCAAGTATGTGTTTAATTGACAACGTTGGAGATGTTGTTGAATGTATGTTTGTAATAATTAACACCAAAAATCTAAAGTAAACTATTAATTTTTTACTGAAGATGCTGTATGCAAGATAAAGTTGATACAAGTAACATGTTTGCACGACACTCTTAACTTAAATGGCTGAGGGTGTAATCACTTCAGAGGTATCACTATTTATTTTTGCATATTAATCAATTTGCTGCATCATCCACAAGCATGAAAATAACAAAAAAAATAAATATTCCAAGTATCCTTGACAAAAAAGCATAACATTAATTATTCACAGTAAAGAATAAATAAATCTTACATTAAATATTTGCTAGATGGTGATTAAACTCTTGGCAAAAAGAGAAAATCATTCATATAATGGTAGTAATGATAGAAAGCACATTGCTCTGTTCTCATAATCTTGTAAAAAACGAAATCATCTGTGTATTATAATGTTTCAGTATTATGTAAGATCAATAAGTTTGTGCAAAATTGAAGTAAATGCAGTTTTGTGTCTGGAATGATTAGCATAAGAGAGACTTATAAAACGTTTTCAGATAGCATTTAGTGCAGGTATTTAATAATGTTTAAGGTCTTACTCATAACTTGACCAAAAGAAAGACAAGAGTTGGAGCTACAGTAAGGAGCTCAATATGGGCTCAGTCAATTTGATGGACCATGTGAACTCTTTGTACTCGTTCAAAGTCTTTATAAATTTGATACTACTAACTTTTAATATTGTGTGTATATCTTCACAAAATTTGGCAGTCTTTCAGTAAACATTATAAGTCTTTCCCATACAAAATATCTTATTTTGTAGTGAAGTAGAAGCATTTTGATAAACTGAAAAAAAGATTTGTCCATGAATATATCGAGTATTTCTTTTGAATAGTCTGTGTGAAAAATGATTTTCATGTTAAGATTAAAAATACTTTTCTTCATCTGAAAAATCTCAAATTTCATTTGTATAATCTCTAAAACCTCCTAAATACATTTCAAATGTTTGTTTCCAGTGAAAATGTATGTCTTATCTGTTATTTCTCTATGGTAACACTATACAAGGTTGGCCAATTTGACAGACCTCATAACTACCAAAAAAAAATTTAAATAAATCTAAATTACCATCTTTTTCTTTCAAGAATGACTTCAAATGTAACATGAAACTACATTCTTTTATCCTAAGTAGGTTTAAATTCATAACAGTATACATTATTTATAATTAAATTTTGTGGTTTTATTGTCCCTTGAACTGTGTCTAATTACTATTCGTGTTATTATAAGTTGTAAATCACTTGGAGAACATGGAGCTCACGTTACGCTATCAAATTACCTTACCCACAAGCTGCTTGTGTGCTTGTCTCATGAAACATTTTTATGATATTATTATTATTACTTATTTTACCTAATCTAACCTAAAGAGATCACTATTTTTTCATGTTAGTTATTATTACTATAAGAAATATGAAAAACAAGAAATAAAGAAATTACCCAAGTATTCTGTTTTTTTGTTTTTTTTTCTTTGCTGTCAATTGTCAGTGAAACTTAACCCAACTTTTTTATACTAATGGTAGTAGTGCATTAAATAATTTTAATTTAATTTAATAATGTACCAAAGAACATAGAATAATAACATTCAAAAAGTAGGCAATTTCCTCCAACAATCACAATTTTTCTGGCTTTCTAACTATGTGACAAGAGCCATTACAAATTCATCCAAGCTAGTTGTTATCTTTCCTGTGAGAACAAAGCCTTTACTACAAGTGAAATTGACGATTATCTGGTTATAGGTAATATATAATTAAACGCAAGAAAGAAATATTAATAAATCCTGAAAGAGAGGATGTAGCAGGAGGGGTCTGATTTTCTATTTGATAGCTCTGTAACCAAACAAAATTGAGTGCTATAAAAATTATGGTTTGTCTGAGCAATGACGATGTTATAGTGAGTAATTTACTTTGAATTTCATAGTTACTGGAGGGGTGGTGGATGGGAGAAACTTGGAGTAGCTCATGGGTAATGTAATTCAATAGCATAACATGAGCTGCACATTCCCCCAAGTGATTTACAACTTATAATGGCACGAATAGTAGTTAGACATGGTCCAAAGGGAAATAAAATGTAATTATAAATAGATGTATACTGTTATGAGTTTAAATATGCTAAGGATAAACAAATGTAGTTTTATATTACAATTTGAATTCATTCTAGATTTTTTTGGTGGTTACAAGGTTGGTCAATTTGACCAACCTTCTATAGAGTTAGGGTAGAGAAAATAACAGATACAATATAAGGTGTTACTGAAAAAAAACATTTGAAATGTATTAAGGAGGTTTTAGAGATTTCACAAATAAAATTTGAGATTTTTTTAGATGAAAAAAGTATTTTTCATCTTAATGTGAAAATCACTTTGCACACAGACTATTCAAAACAAATACTAGATATATTCACTAAAAAATATAATTTTTGTGTAAAAGACTTGTAATGTTTACTGAAAGACTGCCAAATTTCATGAATATACACACTATATTAAAAGTTGTAGGTCATGTGGTTGGTCAAATTGACCGAGCCCTTATTGAGAGAGTTAAAAGGAATGTGGTTTAAACAAAACATCTGCAGTTAACTTGTTTGTATAATAATATTTATGCCTGTTGGTTCTTCAATATTTCACTAACTTTCAGCATTTGAACCATAACTGTTACTGGTAAGTATTTAATTATATATATATATATAACACATAATATAATGTCAGTGATAGTCAGTCACTGATTAGCATTTGGTAAACGCAGTATTTTAGTGTTGTTTAATTATTTCACAATTAAACTTGTGTCTTGGTAAAAACATCTAATTTGTTAGTTATTGCACTGTGCTCCTTATATGAGACCAACATTTTTGCAACTCTTGAACTAGATTGTATATCAGCCTTTTTACTTGGAAAATCTACTGCTTGCCACAGTGACTGATTACTAATTATTTTATCAGTACCATGCATAATGGAATAATCATTGCCTGGTACGTGTTACTTCAACAAGTCTTAGTAAACTGTTCAACATACACACATTTACAGAGAAAACCTTACATGTGGAAAAAAGTCCTTTAACATATCAGTGTTATATTTTGATAAAGCATAAACTCAATAAAATAATTTATAACAATGTTTTCAAGAGTTTGATGAAATATACTTTTTGATATTTTCCTTTGTAACTTTCAGTTCAAACATTTTACCCAATAGATCTTAAAGTAACTGAGAACTAATAATATAGCATCAAATTAGTCAAACCATATTGTCTTGAAAAGATAGGAGTTTGCAAACTTACATTATACTAGACTCAAGAAAACATGTAAAAATCATACAAACATAAACTGCACTAAGTTTATGCTTTCAGTGACAAAAAAATTAATAGTTGTGATTGTCATTAATCTAGAGGCTTTTTTCTGGTTTAATAAAGAGTGTTTGCTTGAAATGTTGCTAAGTAAATAAATTACTACCATAGTTTTTAAAGGTAATTTTTCTCTAAAAGTCTTAATTTATATA